TAATATTAAATATAATAATATTAATAAATAATAATAATAATAATAATAATAATAATAATGTAATTTTTATTATATATTTACTATTAGAAGAAATAATAAATAATTTAAAATAGAGTATGTAAAAATTTAATATAAAGTAAAAACAAACCTTTTGGAATAGCTTAATATATTTAAGTATAAAAAATATTTTTTTGACATAACCTATACGTGTATGTGTGTAAATATGGTTGTATCTATCGAACTATATATATAGCAATAAAAATAACTAAAGCGAGTGAGAAAAAAAGTACAAAAAAAAATAAAAAAAAGTAGAAAAAGATGGTGGAAAAGTGATTTTTTGACGCGATATCGGCGCCATTGTTGCGTCGAGTGCTCGTCACCGTATGTCACCAGGAAGAACATCAGCGAAAGCTGTTACGCAGCCGCCGGAACGACGTTAACGTCGATACTTTATCGCTAACAACCTTCTCTCTTTTTCTTTCACACATATATACATATATATAGATAGATATACATATGTATTGTATATGAACGTAGGTACGAGTACTTTTATTCAATCTTTTTTACTCATATGCTATCGAAAAGCTCAACTTTCGAGTGGTGGACGTACCCCAGAAATATATTTTATGACACAGCATCATTGAACCGAACCGATATCTGATTTTATAACTTCGATGAATCGACAACAATAAAATATTCAATGATGTTGTTCAATTAATTTCAATCATCACATGGTTTATAAATTATTTTTAATACAATGTTGATTATTTGTCGCCATTTTTTTAAGAATTTATCTCACATCACTGGATATTATTACTTCATAATTGGAGTTGAAGGTAAACAAAATTAGGTTGAAAAGTAAAACAATATAGATAAATAATTTGTAATGAATTTCGCTTATTATTAAATTTTTAATATTTCTTTTTTTGTATGATAAACAGGGTTAACAATAATACATAATAAATTTTTCTAATGTAATATCTATTTTTCATTGCGTTTTCATTTTAAAAAGTGCATCACGAGTTTAATATAATTATTAATTATAATTCTTCTCTCATGTTAATCATTGAATTTAGATTATTGCTTAAAAAAAGGTAATTTTTAGCTTGTAAAATTGGAAAAAATTTGTCTAAGAAGAATAAGTGATTTATTTTTCAAATAATACCTACTTCTATTTGTATTTCTTCAAATTTATGTTGATCTGTATATTAAAAATGTTCGCGACCTCTCTTGTAGTATTGAATAAATGTGAGAAGGTATTAAATCGAGAAGTACCTCGAAAAAGGGATAGTAAAAGGAAGATATTAAAAATGTCTTCCAATTCTTTCTAATACGTTATTTTTTAAAGTAACAACCATATCACAAATGCTTCAAATTTGTACCAATTTTAGTAAAAGAAAAATTCCAATTATTTTACTTGAATATTTGATTGAACTAAACAAAATAATTTTTCAAAAGTAAACAAATTTATTTTCCAACTTCCATTCTTTCATTTCTATTAAATCAATGCCAAATATAGACGTATCTTAAATAAAATTCGTGAATGTTAAAATAAAGAATAAAAATATGAGAAAGTTGTGTCCAATGTGTTCCTTCCGTCAAAAAAATCGAAATAACTAAAAAGTTAGATAAAGTAAGTAAATACTTTTCAAGGAAGACAAGGAAAAAAAATAAAAGAAAGAAAAAGGAAAAAGAAAAGATAAAGAAAAGTGAGGAGAAGGAGGAGGAGAGAAAAAGGAGGAAGGGTATAAGCGTTGAGAAAGGAGCGCGTAAAGGAAGAGCTTTTTATTCGTTGATCGCACTCACTCTCTCCCTCTCCCTCTCCCTCTCTCTCTTTCTCTTTCTCTCTCTCCTCCTTTATTTCTTTCGTGATGGCAACGCGCCACGGGAACACAACGTGCAATTTTAATCCTGGAATTACTTCCATTTTATTCCAATTTTCTTGCATTTAAACCGTCTAAGCGAGTTTACTTTCGCAATATCATTGCCGTGGAGCGTTGCCTTGCAAAAAGCAGAGGATGAGGAAGCAAAGGAGAAGAAGAAGAAGAAGAAGAAGAAGAGGAAAGAAGGAAGGAAGAAGGAAGAAGAATAAGGATGAGGAGGTGGTGTTGATGGGGGAAGAGAAGAGAGATTGGAATAAGGCGAAAGAAAGGAAGCGAGTCGAGTTTCGAAGGAAGAAGAAAACTAAGAAAGAAGTGGGAGAAGGTTGGAAGTACCTACTCTAATAAATTTACGACCTAAAAAGGTTAAGCCGCGTTAGCCCTGTTCTTTATATTTCCGCGTGCGCGCGCGCGCAAGCGAGAAGGATTGAGGGGGTGGTGAAGGGTCCGGGAACGTTGCTCCGGCCGGCAAACAGGCAGGCAGGCAGGCACGAGTCAATGAGAGAGAAAGAGTAAGATGGAAATAAATGGGAGAGAAAGAGAAGAGGTTAAGGGGAGGAGGAGGTAGGGTTGGGTTGGTATGAAAAGGAGATAAAAGATATATAAGAGGTACGAAGGGAAATTCGCTTATTTTCTCATCATTTCAACGTAGCATCTTGTCCATGACCTTTTCCTCATCTACGGGGCCAGGAAAGAAAATTGCTTCTCTACGAAGTAGAGGAATATCGTCCTGATAAAACCTGCAAATCCTTCGCCAATATCCAACAAAACGACCAACACGCAACCTCCAGACAATTCTGTTTAGATGTATTTATTATTATACTAGTTTATCTAATATCTTATAGTATTTGTTAATTTTTGTAATGTTATATTTTACATGAATTTATAAAGATTTTTATTTAAATTCATGAGACGTGCGTTTGGTAATTAAAAATATTTTTTTGTCTATTCTCAATCTATAAAATCAAGAAGAAAAAAATTGAAGAAATTTTAATAATAATATTTGAAAAGATCACACACCGGTGGTAGATTTTTATCCTAATTGGAGCACGTGTTTTTTACGGAAATAGTATTGTTCATTTGTCTTTACTGAATCTTTTACAATTAAAACGACAATTCTTAACAAGATTCTTGTAATAATATTTTACAAATATTTCACCAGTCATGAATTTTTATTTAATTGTGAACATGTTTAGTTTAATAATTTAAAACGTTGTATATTTCTGTATCACGTGTGTGTCGGACTTTTAAAGTCGAGAAGATAAATCTTGAAAAAGATTCTCAAGAATGGAGGAAGAAAGTGAGTAAGAGAAAAGAATTCGGGCAGTTGGAGAGCAGCCAAGGAGTTAACAAGGTCGGATGTTAAATTGCAAAAAGGGTCGTTCTACGCTAAAGGAAGAAATTTATTTATATTTCGCGTTGATTCGAGAGAAAAAAAGAAAATATATAAAAAGAAGAAGGAAGAAAGAAAAAGAGAAGGATAGTTAGAATTAGCCGAGCTCGTTCATTAATACATTTTCATTTCCTCGAGCGTCTTTTAGAGAAATGAAAAATAAAAGAAGTTCCAACGATAAGCCAATTACTTAACCATTTTCTTTGTGACAAGTTGAACGAGAAGCAACACTTCAATCGAAATTCCATCTTGTCAGTTAACAGTCTGTCTTCGCTTAACGAGCGTTATACCACAGGATTGCTGAGCTTGATAGAGTGCAATAAAAACGAAATTAAAAAGTAAAGAAACAAACAAGAAAAATTTAAAAAAAAAGAAACAAGAGAAATCTTTAATTTCGTTTGGTTGGTCTAACGAGTTAAAGTCGAAGATGACAAAGTGATAAAAAAAGTAAATAAAAAAATAATTCTTGATGGAATACTTTTCTTATATATATATATATATACAAGATCATGGGCCACCACGATGTTCTGGGATGGATCCATCTCTATTATCTCGTTTCTTATCTTTCCCTCTCTCTCTATCTCTCTGTAAATTCGTCACGAATACACGCAATAAGGCCCCCCAATCGTCGTTTCTCCTTGCCATTGAATAATTCATAAGCTGAGAAGGCAAAGGCCGATAAGCATCGGCTCTTAACGCGATAGACTTTAGCGGGCTGCCAACAGCAGCCATGTTACAATAAAGAGATCAACATGGCCGTCCTACTAGCTCCTTACCCCCACCATTTACTTCCTAACTCTCTTTCCTTCTTCTTCTTTTTCTTCTTCTTCCTCTTTCTCTTCCTCATCCTATTTTCTTCTTCTTCTTCTTCTTCTTCTTACTTACTCACTTGGCCAACCATTCCATTTTTTCTTTCTTTTTCGCACTCGTTCGGTCCATTTCGGAACACCGTCACGTCGTTCACTTTCGATTTCGCCCTAAGGGCTCGTTACCCTCTTGATGCCGAAGAACGAAGGGTGGACTCCTTTAGACGGCCTCCTTTTCTTATTCCAGAACCGCTTCCAGGGGTGGACCGCCCCGCCCAGAGACATTTCTCAAACCCTCCTTCGTAGAACGAGTGCGCCAGCGCACTTCTATGTATGTGTACGTTTCGTACATATGTGTATACTTGTATATTTGTATTACATTCTGCTCTCTGTATATATGTGTATACATATATATATACTTACACACAACGTGCCAGAAAGAGAAGCTTAACAGCCACTTTTCTCGCCCTCGATCGAGTACCACAGCTCGCCAAAGGAACTCCATTTTCGCCAACCCCTCTTCTTTCTTTCGTTTCTTTTTTTCTTTCACTCACTCTCACTCTCTTTCTCTCTCTGTCGCACTCACGTGCTTCTTGGCAGGGAATTTGTCAGTTGACCGCTCTCACAGAACGTAAAAACAAGTCTGAATCGGCAGGGCTCTTTCAAAACAGGGGAACTAGTAACTTTACCCTCATACCATACACAACTATACTCGACTACGACTCCTGACTTGTTTCTTGACACTTGGAGAGATGAGATTTCTAGTTGCTAGTGAAGAGTGTTAATTAAAAAGAGAGAGAGAAACAAAAAGAAAAAAAAAGTATAAGAATTAACAAACTTATTCAATTTATTTATTTAAAAAATTTTATTTCGATTGATTTATTATTAACATTTTTTTTCTTGTTCTTTCTAATGTTGCAGGTGTGGTTTCAAAATAGACGAGCCAAATGGCGTAGACAAGAAAAAATGGAAGCTGCCAGACTTGGTTTAAGCGAATATCATCATGCCGCTAACATGAGGTATGATTTTCAACTTCTGCTTTTTATCTTTTCTTTTTTTTACTACGAATGATACATTTGTAAACGAGAAATTTTATCGAAAAGATATACACATTTTATATAATCGTAGATTTATTTGCGACGGCGTCCATTAATTAATGCGAAATTCGGATTTAATAACGACGTAGTTTGTGGTTCGTATTAAATTAATAAATGATGAAATAAAGAAAAAGACGAAAATTTAGCATTTTTATGTAAGGTATAAATAAAGTTGTATAATTTAGTTAACCATCAAAGCTGTGATACTATCTTTCTCACTCACTCTCTCTCTCTCTCTCTTACTCTCTTTGTGAGTGAAAGATATTAATTAAAACGTAGACAATAATAAACGCTGTCATAACAAATTGCCTTTCACGAAGTTTTATCGATCTATCTATCTCTTTCTCTCTCCCACTCACGAGTTTAACGACTTCTGAGTTAATTAGAAAGACAGAGAGAGAGAGAAAGAGAGAGATAAACCAGCAATCTACATTTGATACTACGATTATATATTCCTCGAAGTCACGAAAGTTAGTTGACCGAGTTTTGAAGTTAAGTAAAAAGGAATAATCATAAATATATCCATGGTTTGGTGTCTGGTAGAAACGTCGGTGGAACGACTCTTGGATTACCTGGAGATCCTTGGCTCGCACCGCCAGGACTTTTGAGCGCACTTCCAGGATTTCTGGCAGCGCCGCACACAGGATATCCAAGTTATTTAACCTCCCCGAGACGATTGCCCTCACCTCCGAACGTTGCTGCTGTGGCTAATGCGGTCCCAGGTACGTCGAACCTATCGAGACACTTGCTATCGAGTCCAAGCAAATTCGTCTCCATCGGATTTCGATTGGAACAATTTTAAACGAAAGATTATACCCTAATATCTTTCCTCCTCATATATTCAATCTCTAATATAAAAAGCAAAGAACGAATAAAGATACATCTTTTGACTGGACTGATTGATCTTTCAACTTCTAAATAACTCGGTACGTTTATTTTACTTTTCTTATTATTCATTGTACGTACAATTAATATTAAAACACAAGTTTAATTTTCGATACATATTATTATAATATTTTATTTTTATTCTATACGGTTTAATGATGAAATAATATTCATACAATTTGATAACATTAAATTTAGAATTTTAATTGTAAATATGAAAATGTTCTACATTTAATATTAATAAAATAAAAAAATATTACTTATTAATATTTTCAAGGGCTCTTCCAATGCGATATAATACTCTCTATAAATTGTATTCGAAATAAAATAAAATAATAAATAGTCAGCCTTGAAAAGATTAATTTCAAAATTAATATAAATTCTATAATTAAAAGAAAGATCAATAAAATTGCCGAGAGATGATAGATAATTTTTATCGAACGAATAAATATAATTTAAAGAAAAAGAAAAAAACAAACAAAATGTTGAATTGTCTGCAGGAACATTGGGAGGTGGAATGGCAAGCATAGGAGGTGGTAGTCACGTCCAACCACCACCTCCAAGTCCACCGGGTCACGATCCCCGTACGAGCAGCATCCAAGCATTAAGAATGCGAGCCAAGGAACACGTCGAAAGCATCACCAAGGGACTTCAAATGGTCTGAAGTTTAACATTAGATTCGAGAAGATAATCGAATTTACCAGCCGACAAAGTTGATGCCGAATTCATCATCTTTGCTGTTTGTCGTCAGGAACAGGAACGAAGATTACGAATATATTTCTTCATTGGAATTTATCACTTATCGTCCAGCCTTCCATCATCTTGTTCTTGGATTTTATTTATAAGAAACATTAATGAATGAACTTACGTTTGAATGTTCGTGAAAAAGAGGTTTTACCGAAAAAGAAATCCGTTTGATCCCAGTTTTAGAAAGAACTTTTATAATCGTGGGGTGTGAGACCACCAAAAAATAAGAAACATTAAAAAAGGAAAGGAAAAAAAACAATGAAATTATGAAAGAAAGAATTTAGTACCTGCTTTCGTTGTTCGTCCAAATAAAAAAGAAACAAAGGTAACAAAAAGATTTAACCGATCGACGAAGTAATCGAAGTAAAGTTTAACAACAAGCAAATTAATTGAAGAAGCAAAGATGAATTGAAGTTCTTCGATTGCATCATTGATACATGATTATCGAAAAACAATAATGGCTTACGTAGGTATTTCAATGAGACAATGAAATATAAAAGCGTGTTTATCGTATTCCACGATGATGTGCAATATCAATCAGAGAGAAAAGAGAGAGAGAGAGAGACGACCATGACGATCATGTTCATTCGACGATATAAGCGGCGTTTAATAAAATGAGTGATCTTTTATGAGCATGTGTGTGGGTGAGTGATAAAAACTACTACGGTGACTTGAAAAACTTTTGAAAAAAAATAAAATCGTGCAAGTTTAACAAGTTAGATCGTGGATTTGAATGAACTTCATACGCGTATGTATTTGTATGTATATTTCTTTCGTGTGTGCAAGAAAAAGAGAGGAATGAAAAGAAATAATGATAAATAATTGAAGATAATACGTTTATCCTCTCGATCGATCGATTTTTAAATCGGTGAAGTGTTGTTTGTGACAATCATACGAACGTGTACGATTCAATTGTCACGTGTGTATAAGAAAATTAAAATTAAAACTTAACCCGAAGAGTAACTACAAAAATTTATGTATTTCTCTATTTTGATTTTTAAGAGAAAAGAATCGTGAGTGTATTAGAGATGAGAGAGTGAGAGAGAATGAGAGAGAATGTGTGTGAGAGAGAGAGAGAGAAAGACAGAGATAAACAAAAATTAATTATGAGAGACTGAAATTCTTATCGATCTTTTTTCTTCAATGAATTTTGACAGGAATCGTGTAAAAATTGATGCTAATGATTTTCGTCATTTAATTATAATTCGAACAATCCTTTAACAATCCTTGCTAATGATAAGGAGGAATAGAGGATGAAGAAGTCGCTCGTGTAGTGGTTAAATAAAAAAAAAATAAAATAATAAAATCTTCCGATGGTATTTTAGGCTGCCAGCAGTAACACATTCTCACGTACGTCCCGACGTTGTCCTAATCGTCAACAAAAAAAAAGGGAACGTATACGCCGTTTAAAGGATTAGAAAAAGATTAGAAATTATCTCTCTTATGTAGCGAGTAATAGCTTCGTAAAAAAAACAAGGAAATGACGAAGAGGACGATCGGTGGAAATAACATTTTGACATAAACAATATTCTGCAGTATTAGTATGTTAAGAAGAAAAAAGTAATTAATGATTAAAANAAAAAAAAAAAAAGAAGAAATAAATAAAAAGGAAAAAAAGAAGAGGAAGTGGAAGAAAATGAAGAAGGGAAAGGAGGAGGAGAAGGAGGAAGAGGAGGTGAAAGAGGATTGTGCATATTATGCGTAGAGTCATTATAAGAGGAATGTAAATTCGAAGAGCTTTTGAAAGAAAAAGAGATCGGTCGTATGAAAAGTTAAAAGAAAAAGAGAAAGAATTGTTCGATTCAATTGGATAAATTCGAAAAATGAATTTTTTCGAATTTTCATTTTATGTTTGAAAATTTCATCGATCGATCTCCGTCAATCTCTACGCGTCCGATGATCATCAAACGTAGATAAACTAAAATCATCCACCCTAAATCATTCCAAAAAACGTCTGTTTGTATATATTACCTGCTCTCGTGATAAAATAAAAATTTGATGTACATATTTAATCATATTCAACGTCGTTCGAGGAAGAATATCCCCTTTTAGAGAAAATAAAGGTGCAAGCGCTGATAAAACGTAGTAAAAAAGAAAAAAAAAAGACAAAAAAAACAAAACCATAACCCGTCAGAATGTTGTAAGATAGATGTGTCCTGTGAATGAATCCACATGAACATATTCCTAATCCTTTACTTAATTTAATTCGCAATCATTGTTTGAAAGAGAAAAAACAACAAGTATAATATCTTTAAATTATCATTAACTAGATTTATTTTTTTAATACTATACAAAATAATTACATTTTTTAACGATGAGTAGTATTATAGTTGAACATTTCTATTTTCACGATTTTCGATCAGTACGTAGTAAAATAATTTGTTAATATTTATAAATAGAATCAAAATTGCCATCAGAGAATTACACGTAAATATTCACGACATATTACGAATATACTAATTTCAATTAAACGTTCTTTATTATCTTAAACGATAGATTAGAAAAAAATTTCAATAAAAAGTTAACCAATGTCCATCATCGTTAATCCTAGCACGGATATCGAAGATCGGTAATTCGTGCGTGTTAGCTTTTGACGATTAACACTCTGATAGGAATAAGTCGTCTTTCGTGGAAAAAGAATAAAAAAAAAAGAAAAAAAAAAGGTAAAAACAAACAAAAAAAGAAAGAATAAGAAGAAAAGGAAAGAAAAGAAAAGCGTTAGCGTCAGAGCGTGAAAAGATTCGACGTTAACAGCACCAACAACGGCTGCTGGTCGGTGGAACAATGGGTGCTGAATGGTCCCTGAACGATTAGGTATTCCAATCGTCGCGTTTAGGGGTCGCTGTGAAGTGCGCCAAGGGGGTGGAGGATAGGAAGGGCTGACTGGCTGGCTGGCTGGATGGCTGGATGGCTGGCTGGATGGCTGGCTGGGCTGGCTGGCTGGCTAAGAGGGCGCCAGAACTCACCCAATAAAATGGTAATTCCTGTTTGCCAAAGTTAACCATGCGAGCGAGCTTGGAGATTCGAGTCCATGCGTACTCCCTAACTCCAAAGACTAATAATACCGAGAGCAAAGTGCTAAGCCGACGGTGATATATAGTTTGAAGAGAAAGTAAGAAAGGAAGAAACGAATTTCTAGCAAAACCTAACACAAAACTTCTTCAACCTACGAATTCCTAAAGAATTCGATCAAAAACCCCTTTTCAACAAACTTTCCTTTTTCTACTTTGCTTTTTTTTCCTCACCTTTTTTTCCACAAAACGCCAACTTTGCGATCAATGATTTTATCCAACTGGAAAGGATTTTCTTCTTTTTTTTCAATAAGTTAACAATGAGAATAGGAATAAGAATAGAACAAGATAGGATAGTGAGAGAATGTTTTTTTTTTTTAGAGAAGGAGAAAAGATAGAAACGGAAAGAGGAATAAGGCAAGATAGGATAGTGGGTCATCGAAAAAGCTAATACCTAGATATCGAAAGTTTCATTACTATCTCGAACGAGTAATCGTAACTAACTATGATATATAAAGAAAAAAAAAAGAAAAAAAACCAAACAAGAAAAAAAAAGTGGAAATAATTCGAGTTGGCGCTTTAGCATGTAGTAAACCGTGGAAATGCGAGGGAGAGATATCGTTCCAACGTTAATCAAGGTTCCATGAATAAAATCCATCGGAGCGCGATGGTCAACGGCGTTTTACGATCAATTTGACCGAATTAGCCGGTCGTTAACATGCATATCAGCTTAAACGCCGAGTATAGAGATTGAAGGTGACACACGAACAGTTAAGGCTCGAAATTGGCACGGAAATAGTGACTTTATTAAATTTGTTTTGGCCTGGAGGAGTAAGAGGAATAGGAGGAATAGGAGGTGGAGTAGGAAGAGGCGGAGTTGAGAAGAAGGAAGAGAAGGATCTACCTTTCTGGACGAAATATCTGTCTAATAACGCTGCTCGCCTAACTTTATTGCCCCGACAAAGTAAAGAACCAACGAAGGACTCGAATAAGCTCGCTCCGAGAAAGCAACGAGATCAATGAAACTCAGGAGCAACCGTGCGGAATCCGCAAACAGTGGTAACAGTGGAAATTCGTCGAACCGCTTGAGAATATACTTTAACTCCCATCTCTAACTCTCTCTCTCTTTCTCTTTCCCTTTCTCTCTTTCTCTGTTTCTCCGTTTCCCTCTTTTCCCTAATTTCTCTTTCTATCTTACGTCGTCTTACATATACGTTTAACGATGCGAATATTCATTAAACGTTTGCTCATCATCCAGACTACGTCGTACGAAAACCCAATCCCATTCTCTTTCTATCAACTTCTTGTATTCCCAACACATTCTCCCAAAGAAGACTTACGGACTATCAATCAACCCCAAAGGACTCTTATTTCTAATTAAAAAATAAAAAAAAAGTTATGAAAAAGAAAATGAAGAATAAAATACGTCCTTGTTCTACTATAATATAAGTAAGTATTTTTCTTCTCAATCGTTTCTCATGTGATTGTCTTGAGAATAAACATTGAAGCATGAGGAGATGTTATCAAAAAAAACATGGGAAAGACATAATTACCATCCCTCTTAAGTTAAGCCATATTTTTTAATAATCTTTTATAGCATACATACTATCTACCGTCATCAGCGAGTTAGAGATCCAGCAAAAGCAGCATGATATTGGTAAATAGATAGATAGATAGATACAGATAAAGAGAGATTGAGTGAGAAGCGAGAGGGCTAGGGGAAGAGGGTGTGAGTCGAGCTTCTGTTTAGCATTATTAATTAGAGAGCGGCCAAAGTTGTACTAAGTTGGCGAGTACATAAGCAGAAATAATATTTGCACGGGCGTTCATTAGACGTGGCAGCCGACGGAGATGGCGCCACAAACGCGAGGCCGGATTCTCATTAAAATAACCGTGCGTCTCTCCCGGCACTCTCTCTCTCTCTCTCTTCGTCATCCCTCCTCTTTCTCTTCCTCTCTCTATCACCAGCACCACCACCACCATCACCACAGCCACTGAGCAAAGCTACTCGTTCTTTCAAGAGAAACGCGAACAGAGGAGGTTTTTCTCTGGCTGATAAAGAAGAAGGTAAAAAATAAAATGGCTGACGGCACGGTTAGAGAAAGAAAGAAAGATAGAAAGAAGGAAAGAGATAGAGGGATGAAAAAGGGTAGGGAGACAATTGAGAACAAAGTGAACATGGATGGTTTCTCTCTCTCTCTCTCTCTCTCTCTCTCTCTCTCTCTCTCTCTCTCTCTCTCTCTCTTACTACCCCTTTTTTCTCGTTAGACATAAAGTAGAACGAGGATGTAGTAGCCAGCGGGATGTTAGTTAGATAGACAGAGCGAAAGAGGGAGAAAGGGAGAGTGAGCGAAGTAGAAAAAGTATCGAGGAAAAAAAAGAAAAAGAAAAAGGGGCCGGTAAGTGAAGAGGCAGGGCACCGAGTTACGAGGTAGTTTATCTACCTCTAGATAAGTTAAATGAAAGTCGCGGTTACCCCCTAACGCGAAAATACGCTTGGGGAAAATTTCGTTTTTTCAGGCTGATTAATGTAATAGGTATATACCTCAGTGGCGGCTGCGGCGGCTACTCTTCGAGCAAGATAATTGGTCATTTTATCTCTTTCCTTCTTTCTCTTTCTCACACACACACACACACATACACATTCATTATATATATTTTTTTTACTCATTCTCTCTAATTCTCTTTTCTCTGTCTCTCTTTGATACTCACGAAACGTCGCGTTAACGTATGTGAACGACGGCCTCGTGTGTTCAGTCCATTCCTAGTTTCTCTCTTTCACGAAAAGGTTGCACTACTGGTGCTGCTACTGCTACAGCTACTGCTACTGTTACTGCTACTGCTGTTGCTACTTCTCTTCCTCGCTTTTCCGCACACCGTTAGAAGACGAACAATGAAAACGTTTAAACGCGTCGGCCCGCAAATTGACGTTGACATCAAT